TGCAGATTACATATTTTAAAAAATATTAACATGCTCCACTAACTCATATTTTTGTAAATAGGTAGTTGAATATTGAGCAACATTACATTCAATTCCAATTCTTTAGCAAGAAACAGGTTCATATATTTTCTATTGATTCACAAGTGGAGGCCCATAGTGTGAATCATACTTTTAATGGTATAAATTAATATTCATCCTGTCATCCTTATCCATCCATCATCAAATTTCCCATCAATTTTCACTTATGACTCTTAGTAGCCCTTGCTGATCATTGCTTAGATGATTACTGAGGTCATAAAATTGTGTATTTAATAGTTGGAATTTTGGGGCCAGGAATGTGGCTCAGAGCACATGCATGCTTAGCACGCATGAGCCCTGGGTTCAATCCCCAGCAAAGAAAAAAAAGTTGAATTTTCCTTTAAAAAATATTTTTTCCTTCAACAATTCTTTTTAAGGAAGTACTGGGGTTTGAACTTAGGGTCTCACACTTGCTAGGCAGGCACTATACCACTTGAGCCACTCCACCAGTTCAACAATTATTTAATTAACTCTGAAATTCAGTTCACATGGCAAAAACATATGAAGGGGAACAAAATCTACCAATTTGCATAATGAAATTCAGAATATATCAAATTTCAGAATGAATAATTTTCAGTCTAGCAACTCCCAAAAGGTGACTAATGAAGAGCTTTTCTAGTATTACTACCAATTTTGTGTTAATGTCTTAATTCATTATAGTGATTGTTCTTTTTGATAGCCAACTGTTCAAACTCTGGTCAGTGGGAGCCCCTTCAATTTGGCTCATCTATCCTCCCAGTATCTTTGATAGCTTTCTTGCTTTATGGCAGAGAGAGAGAGAGAGAGAGAGAGAGAGAGAGAGATCCCAGGCTCATTACCACTTTTTCCAAGGGTCCCTGGTTCCTTTTGGTGGAAATGTTTAGAAGCCACAATCTGTAAAGGACCTGTTACAAGTATGGCTTTCCCATCCAAGGGAGTCATTTTATTCCTTATCCATGTCCTTTCTTCTTACTTTTAAAAAGGCTATTAAAACTAATAAAACCCTAGCAAAGATGGTCTATCCAGTATGATTTCTTTTCCCCAATTCTCTTTAAGAAAAACATTAAATATTTACTCTGTTTTCAGTAGGTTTCCTCTGAGGCAAGATAAACTGGATCTCAACCCACACTCAGTAGCCTGTAGTAGACACATCAAGCTTCAGGGGCCAACCAAAGCATCTTCTCCTCAAGAACCAGGAGGCAAGAGACTATGAGATGAGCAGGGCATGTCTTTGAAGTGAAAGCTGTGTACAGTCTGTCTGCAGGTGAACATTATAACCCTGGAATCTTCTCATTAGGCTCCAGTTTCAGCCTGAGGTCCTAAATCCATTTAAATCCCATTATGAATGCCATGGCCTCATTCCTTTCACTTGTAAATACCTGGCTCTAATACTGACAGCCATTAGCTGTAATCAAGTGTTTTTCTTCTGCCATAAATATTTCCCTTTGGATTTACACCTAGGGATGGAGAAAATGTGAAAGGAAGAGTAGGCAGACTTCCTTTACAATTTGCTTATATCTCTAAACACAAACATAGCATTGTTCTAAAAGAAATGATATAATAAATTCATTTAAATTAATTTGGAAACCCACACACATAGTCTGTGCTTTAAGGATACTCATAGCCTTTTTGGTAACCAAATTAGGATTTTAGAAAGAGGCAAATAAATCATGAGTACATACTATTATTTCAAATATAAATTTAAAATTATAACTTTAGAATTATTTTCAATTTTACATTTGCTTCCTTTCTGCTAAAATCTTAGTTCTTTTTTGACATTAACTACCCATTCTTTTATAATATATATATATATATATACATATATTCATTTATGTCTATAAAACTATCAGTATTACAAATAATAGTAGTGATACCAAATACAATTTAAGGTTTGTTGGTTCTTTATACTTAGTGTATAACCCACTAGGAAAGTATAGTCAAATTTAGAGTCACTTGAAATCTTCTCTGTGTGATTATTTCTTCAGCCTGATATGTAGTTACTTATTTGTCAAATTGCTTTCACATATATACTCTTTAAAAAGCAAAATATAAATGAACAAAAGATAGAAAAGAAAAAAAAAGATCAAATTCTCTTTAGATTAACTGTAGCTAGTAGCATTTAGCTAGCATTATAGCCCACTTCGCATTTTGGAAGGAGAAGCAAACAATTTCTAGCTTGATGGGTTTACTTTTGAAAATAAATTAGATAAAAAGCTAAAATCTATTTTGAGGGTGGGGAAAATATATTCAGTAAACTAGAATTCTTCCCAGCAACAGTAGTAGCTATTTATGGAACAGTTAGGAAATACTTAAGAAACAATAAAATCTTAAAGAAAAATTTTTTTTTTCATTTTTCTTTTATTATTCATATGTACATACAAGGCTTGGTTCATTTCTCCCCCCTGCCCCCACCCCCTCCCTTACCACCCACTCCGCCCCCTCCCTCTCCCCCCCCTCAATACCCAGCAGAAACTATTTTGCCCTTATTATTAAAGAAAATTTCTTGATCTGACATAGAGTATTAAATATATATAGTTAAAAATAATCTGTTTAATAGTTTTATTGACCCTCATTTGTATAGTGGTAGGCAATAAATAAATAAAAATATTTTACTGAGATAATTCACATACTGTACAATTCACCCACTTAAAGTGTATAATAATTTCTATATTCATAGAATTGTTCAACCATTACCACAATCATCTTTAGAACATTCTCATTACTCCCCAAACTCTATACCCCGTATCTGCTACCTCTAATCTTTTGAGTCCTCCCAACCATAGACAACTACTAATCTATTTTCTGTCTCCACAGATTTGTTCATTCTAAACATTTCATATAAATGGAATCATACAATATGTGGCTCTTTGTGACTTTTTTGTTTTTGGGTGGGAATGGGGTTTGAACTCAGGGCTTCAAGCTTGCAAAGCAGATACTCACAAAGAAGGCACTCTACCACTCGAGCCACACTCCAGTCCATTTTGCTCTGGTTATTTTGGAGATGGGGGTTTCTCAAACTATTTGCCTGGGCTGGCCTTGAACCATGATCCTCCCGATTTTGGCCTCCCAAGTACCTAGGATTAAAGGCATGAGCCCCTGGCGCCTGGCTGTGACTTCTGTTACTTAATATGTGTTCTCAATGTTTATTCCTGTTATAATACGTTTCAACACTTCCTTTCTTTTTTCTGCTGAGTAATATTCCATTGCATGGATATATGTCACTTTTTATTTACCCACTGATCAGCTGATAAGATACTGGGTTACTTCTACTTTTGGTTATTATGAGTAGTTTAATTTAGCTATAATTTAAATATGATGATTAGAGAACATATTTCATCACCTATTATTCCCTATTAACTTTATCCTTAGGTAATACTACTCTACATTCCCAATTGGATACCTGTAAAAACAGATCTTTTTCAGATCTTCCATGTATTTCCTGCAAATGTCCTGCAGTGGATCTTTCTTCAGTGGACTGGTGTCCACTAAATTATCATTCCATGAACCATTCCAGGGTTCCACACATTCTTCTATACATTTCAGAATCTCTTTATCATGAGGAGATGTGATTTGAGCACCAGTTTCCCAATAAACCTAGATGATAGGTAAATATAGCTATAATTACTTTAAATGCTTGTCATGTATCTGCTTAGCTACAGTAGTGATCTTCGGCCTTATGAAGCACATCAAATTAATCAAGTAAAAATATCAACATGAGACTAATTTAGTAATACCAAAAGATATTGAAGGTAATGACTTCACAGGGACTCATCAATCAAATAACCAATTATTATTTCATTTTTTAGAATTTAATATTCAACTTGCTTTAATAACAATACAAACAAATATAAGCAGGTATCATTATGGTCATATAACATGCATATACCAATAATGTGCAAGCATACTCTTAGATTTATAACTACATCCTAAAGACAATGTAAGAGACCATGAACTATCCCATAAAACTTCATGCTATTAAACGCAATGTTATAAATTGGTTCTATTATGTGACTTAGAAGAAATCATTCTTCCATTATAAGTTAAAGTAAAATTTATTTATCACCAAATAAAGTATGTATCAGGAAGCCAATTAACATGTTAATTTAGCCATATACATTTCGGTGAATTTTCAGTTTGTCAAGTAGTTTGATCAACAACAAGGCATTAGGAATAGTTACCAATAAAGCAAAAAAAAAAAAAGTAATTCTAATAATTCACAGGATCTCAAAGTCAGAAGTGACTTTGCTTAGAGGACATTTATGCCAACTTCTACCATGTATATGACATGAAGCCTTGCTAATGCATCCCGAATGAAGGAAGAAAAATACATTTGAGCATGTACTGTGTACTAAAGTCTGTGCCAACAATATGGTAAACTAGATGACTTAAAATTTCTTGATCTTACTTATAATCATTGTGTCAACTGAAAATAAACAAATATTTTAAAAAATCTTGCTCTGCAGACACCTCAAAATGCTAGATAAAACAGAAAAAAAATTACTTTAAATACGTAGCTTAATTCATAAGAGGAAAGGGAAAACTCCAAGCAGTGGGGAAAATAGAAAGAATTAAAAATCAGATTGATAAACCTGTGGAGCTAACACTGTGGTTGCCTGGGGTTGGGGAATTGTTTATTTATTTGGTTATAATGCCCATGAGCAAGGTAGGGAGTCAGAAATTAGGATAAAAATGAGATTCTTGATATGTTGCACTATCAGTGAAAATACAAGATAGAAACAGTTCTTCTTGCTACTATGGAGAGATAACGAGGAAATATGTTTGTTTATTCTTGGATTCTGGGTAATTAAAAAAATTCAAATTCAAAGCCTGCATTCAATTATTTTAGGATAAAAATTAATACACTAACACAGAAATTATTCTGAATCAGTAAATCCCTTTAGGTTCCAGCAGACATGAATAAACAAACAAACCTACTCTGCAGAGATGCTCCCATTCTACATACCCCCCCACACAAAACGAGATTTTTCTCCGTAAGTACTAAAAGCTCACAGTGAAAATTTATTTAAAGAAATTATAAAACACAAGAAAAAATCCTGTATTTCCCCCTTCCTGCCTTGCATGTGGATTGATGCCTGGAGGTACAGCAACCATAATGGGGTAGGCATGCTTGAAGGAAAGGCAAAAACAAACAAACAAACAAACAAAACCTGCAGAGGGCTGGGGTAGAGTATACAGTGCTTGCCTAGCACTTGTGAGGTCCTGGGTTAATCCCCAGCACACTGCAAAAAGAAAAACCCCAAACAATAATGAAACAAAATAAAACCCTGCAGAGACTTCATGCAATAAAATAGGCTCAGGAGCACTGTACTGGTTATTTGCAAGAGAAGTAGATTTGAGGGTATATGGGTGGGTGAGCTGTGGGAATAAGGAAGCACTTTGGCCTGGGGGTAGGTGGGGATCCAGGGGCTGGGGGAAAAAACAAAGAAAGAAAAACAAAAAATTCACTCAAGGATAAACCTAAAGAGATGTGAAAGATCTTTAAAATTCTAACAAAAGATCTAAAAGAAATCTTGAAAGACTAGAAAGACACATCCTATACTTGAATAGAGAGACAGAAAAATATAATGCTTTCTAAATTAATCTATAGATAAAAAATGACACCAATAAAAAAAATCAACATTTTATATATTTATATATAAATTATATATATGTATATAAAATTTATATATAGTATATATAATATGCATACACACATTTTTTTTGAGATAGGGTCTTGCTATGTTACCCAGGCTGGTTTTATACTCCTGGGCTCAAGTAGGCCTCCCACCTCAACCTCTCAAGTGGCTGGGACTACATGCGGTAACTACCACACCTGTCTTGACCTATTTATATTTTAAAAGATCATCTAGCTGCCTTATGGAGCACAGATTGCAGGGAACAACAATGGAAGCAGGGAGAGACCAGCTAGATGCGTAGTTCAGACAAAGGACAACAATGGTTTACAATGGTAACGGTAGACATACAGGCAGAGGTAAATACATTTAATGTGTGTTTTAGATACAGAGCTTCTAGAATTTGTTAGTAGATTAATGTTAGGGAAAGGAGGCAATTAGGAATGGTTTCTGAGGCTAAGCATGGTGTCTCATGCCTGTAATTCTAGTTGTCAGAAGGAAGAGGTAGGAAGATCATAGACTGAGGCCTAATGCGAGACCCTATCTGAAAAATAATTAAAAGCAAAAAGGGCTGGGAACGTTGTTCAAGTGGTAGAGCACTTGTCTAATAAGTGGTTTTTGTTTGGGTGGGTAGGATTAATTTACAGAGATGGAAAGACTACTTTTAGGTGTATATACAGCAGGTTGTGGGGAATCAAGACCTATGTTCCAAAAACACTAACTTTAAAATGTCTGTTAGACACCCCAATGAATATGCAGTAGGTGGTCGTATACAGGAAGCTGACGTTCAGAGAAGACATCTGTGTTCTTAGCTCTCTTTGACAGTTGACCTCTAACTTCTTACAACTTTCCTAATCTCTTTGGTTTTTAATGATGCCAATCTCCTCTAGACTTTCTCTTATCTCTAGGTCCTCTTTTTTTTCTTAAATTTCCTTTCCTTTAAAGTTAAAATTGCCTATGGATTCATTCGTGATTTCTTTTCTTTCCACTCTGTACTACCTCTCGGCTATGCATCCAAGTCAAGGACTTCCAAATGTTTTTACATGTTGTAGTATGTGTGGTCACTTCAAAATCTATAACTTCAGCCCACATGTCTCCCGAGTGACAGATCTACACATCTAACTGCCCATAACACACTGCTACCTGATCAACCCATGCAAACTTCAAACTTCATATGAAGTTCAAACTAAACTACTTATGCTTATTCCCTACGTCTGTAAATGGCAACCCTACTCACTTAGCTAGTCAGGCCCCAAATTTTAGATTAGTATTAAAGCTTTTTTCTAAGTTAAAAAAGACCTCAGTGTGTCTTGAGTCTTTCCATACAAGAAGAAAACAAATACATGAATATGGGCTCATCATTCAGAAGCCCCAAACACCTGCTTGATAATGTGCTACATGTCTTCTACTTGCCCCTATAGAGCCACAGTAATTTTCATCCTTCACCACTCTGCTTCCTGCCATGGAGGCTGACACAGTAAATGGATCCTGTGGCCCTTGGGGAGCCTGGACAGAAGGAGTGAGGTCAAGGAACTATCCAACTTTCTTTCTACAAATTCTCATTCATTTTTCACATTTTTGGGTACAATATTATAACCTTATTTCTGAAATCATACAGAAGATATATTTGTGATAATGAAAGAGGAATCAAGGAAAAATAGAAGGCAAAAGACCAAAGAAGAGACCTGTGTAATTATACACATTGAGAAGTAGTAAGAGCCTTTAGGGAGTACTCCATTCTGTGAAGGCTGGCCTCAATGTTTTTATCTTTTTGTTCCCAATGTCTGACTTTGCTCCGAGTGTAGAAAACATAATTAGCATACATTATTCAAATAAAATAAGAGCTATAAAATAAGCGAAGGTCAGGAGTCCAAGGTTTACCTTGTACCCGTTGTCTTCCTTACGGTTGTGAGATGCAGTAATCATCACACCTGCAACTGCTTTGAGCTCCTGGACTGCATATGGCTGAAAAAATAATAGCAATTATCATCCCACTGTGCTTCCTAGCTACTTATATATTTGACATGAGACTAACCTGACTAAGTAACAGAAGATATTATGGTATAAATGACCTAAAACCTCAATTCCCCACTTGTTGGATAGGGTCCATTTCTAAAATGTGTGGCTCAACAACCATCTAATCATATTTAGACTGAATTGCTTTTCCCCAACTTTCCTTTAGCTTAGTAGTATAAACAGTTCTTATTCTTTTGTTCATTTAACAATATTAATGAACACATACTATATGCCAGACACTCAACCAGACCCTGGAGAAATGAATGGTGAACACAATCATAAAGTGTTGAAGTTGAAAGTAAATTTAGAAATCACTTAATCCATCATATTTTACAATGAGGTTTATCCAACATTATAAATCATTAGGTAGAAGATTCAAAAGTAGAACACTTTTGTCTTCTAATTTGAAGATTTTTCTATATATTCTGTGGCCTCCATGTCACATAAGGGTCAACTCACTATCCTCTCTCCCATAGTTAATTCTCAGGTTTGATTTTCCTTTTTATCTGTAGTGGCTACTGTTTGTCATCCTAGGATGTCTCCCCTACTGCCTCTACTACCACATCTTACTACTCTCTGGCCCACAGAGGTTAAAGTGGATGAACATGACCCAGGTCTCACCATAGTAGTACATTCCCTTGATATGATTCAGAAACTACCTCATAACCCAAGCCTGATCAGTCATAGTAATAAAAAGGTGTGAATCTGGGATTGCTAAAAACACCTTCCTTACCAGCTAGAGAGAATCTACCTGCAATAAGAGAAAAGCCAACACACTGGGATTGATGATGCTCGGAACTGGCAACTTGATGGCAGAGTCTTACAGAGATGATCTAGATTTCTAGATCCTCCCTGTTTTTTATTATTCATTGATACCACATTTTTCTTTTTCTTTCTTTTTTAAAGCAATTCAATTATTTGAGCTGCTTAATATATTGCCAATAAATCACTAGAACAGTCTATAGAGACATTATCTATTCTTCAAATATTTGGTAAAACTTATCTATAAAAATTGGAGAATATTTTAAAACTACCAACTCAATTTATTTAGTAATTATAGGTGATTCAGGGTTTTTTTTGTTTGTTTGGTCGTTTCTCATCAGTTTTGATGCATCCACTATCATTTTATGGAACTGGCCAACTTCATAAAATTTTTAACAAAGAAAACATGTTAGTTCTTAGTGTTTCTAATGCTTTAAATTATAATATACTAACAAATACTAGCTTTATCATTTTTCCCTTTCCCTATACATTTTTAACCAAGAGTAAGGGTGTTTTTAATGTTTTGTCAAGATATGACTGTAATTTTGCCCATTGATTATAAGTTCACTTTGCATAGTTTTAGCTTGTATAACTGTCTTTTTCCTCAGTCTCTGTCTGCTTTATTTCACTCTTAAAGATCTTATTCATAAAAGATCAAGGAATGCTCCTCATTCCCAAGACAAAAAGGGGTGTTTCTTCACAAATACTGCAGAGCTGCCTTTGTGGCCCTGCACCACCATTCAAAGCAAGGATTGCCTACACGTTCTCATTCTTCATTATGGTATCTTCCTTAATCAAGGAATTACTTATGACTGTGCTTTTAAAATTTTAAACACAGGTTTCTGGACTTTTTATTTTTAATTTTATTTCATTGGGGTCCAGGTATATGGCTCGATAAGCAGTTCTTTGGCATTTGTTGAGACGTCCTTTGTAATTGTGCTTAGTAATAAAGTATATACTAGCATCACTGAACATAGGATTTTTTATGCACACAACCCAGGTCAAACTTGTTAACAGTGTGTTCAAATCTATGTGTAATCATTTTTATCTGCCTAATAAATCAATTTCTGAAAGAAGAGTCCACCCATGACTTGTCAACTTTCATAGATCAAGTTCTTAGGTAGTTCAACAAATGTTGAGCTGAAGATAAACTCAAAGTAAAATTTGTTTTCCTTCGTTTGGTTCCAAATATCACTCAATACAGAACCATATGCACAATAAAGATTCGAATCTTAGTTGATCTTAGAAAATTTTTCAAGGCCAGCAAACTGAATCATCACTAACACAATACACTTACTACAAAAGGTGTAGGAACATATCTTGAAAAAAGGTAAACAGGAACATCTTTAGCCAGCAAGACTGCAGCAGTGAGTTTAGCAAGCCTGAAAAAAAGAATGTAACTTAGTCCTTAGTTAACTATAATTTTAAAAAATCAACCTTCCACATAATAAATGTTTCATATTACAATTACTCTGAATATATAGTAGCTTTACACACCACATACCACGTTTTTTTTTTTGAGACAGGGTCTTGCTATATAACCCAGGCTGGCCTCTAACTCATGATCCTCCTGCCTCAGCCTCCTTTGTGCTGGGGTTATAGACATGTGACACCATACCTGGCAACCAATTCTTATAGTCACTGATTATTTAAGCTGTATGTGCCAACTTGAAAATATTAAATAAATAAGACTTTTCATAAAAAGGGTGCAGCTCAATGATACAGCACCTGCTAAGCATGTGCAAGGCCATGGGTTCATCCCTAGCACCACATATACCAAAAACAAAACAAAAAACAAACTAACAAAAACCCCGAAAAAATTAAAAGCTTAACAGAAATGACATTACAATGAACAGAAATAACATTACAATTCTTTTCCTTTCGAACATCTTTCGATGGCTTTTTAACTAAGAAATAAAATCTGCAAAGGAAACAAAAGTGGAAGAAAGTGAAATAAAATAAATATGTGCAATTACCCTCTGAAAATATATCAATATATCATGACTATCAATTTATGAAAATACCCTAAAACTAAATAAAAAGATTATGATAAAACAACGCAAGCTACATAATTACTCCTACTCAGTACCTTTAGCAAAAATACTAAAATTATAATACAAGCTGTGACATAATTTCAAATGTTCTATGTTATACCTTTTTCTGTAATTTTTTTGGTGGTAATGGGGTTTGAACTCAGGGCCTCACACTTACTAGGCAGGTGCTCTACCAATTGAGCCATGCCCTAGTCCTCTTTCTGTAAAATCTAAAGCTTATCTTTGAAATATTTTTTCTTCTATTTCAACTCTAAAATAAACATTAGCATGCAATCATATTTCTATTTGAATGTCTATTTCATAAATCCTACTACTAGCAAACAAAAGAACTGTAAATGTTTTATTCCATTCCAATTTAATCTTTGAAACAATTAACATTATACCTCTGGCTGCGGCAGCTGCTAGTTACTTGACCCCGAGTGTCATACCCAACAATGAAGCTTCTCTGCTTGAAGTCTGAAAAACATCTCTCCAGGTATTTGTACATTCCCTGAAGCAAATAAATGTAGAAGATTAGTTCCTAGTGAATGTTTGCATCTTCACTCTTTCTCCTTTTTGTTCTGTGCTGGGGATTAACCCAGGGCCTCAAGCATGCTAGAAAAACTCTACCACTGAGCTATGTTCCCAGGTTCAATGCTTGTATTTTGTAACTTTAAAATCTCTTATTTTTGCAGGTGTGCAGTTTATTGTCTCCTGGGGAACTGGTTTCTGCCTTTATGCCCATGCTTTGAAATGGGGGAGCAATAATGCTCCATCCACAAATGTGCAATGACAAACATTTCCTAGATTTTGGGAAATATTTAATACTATAGAAATATCAATTTAGTAACCACTGAATCCAATACAATATATGAATCATGAGGGAAAAAAAGATGAGACATGAGAATCAGTAAGATTTAAAAAAAAATTGTTAGGAGAGCTCAAGGAAATTATTTCTTGCTTCGAGGCTCTAGAGAACAGAATTTTGAACATCTTCCACCCATGCTAAATCATAAGATCCAGCTAACCAAATGATTTGACCTATTTATGACAAATGCTTTAAATCAACAATACAGTCCTTCATTGGAATATTCTTAAGATAGCTGCATATTTCTTAAGAAAGAGGTAGCAGAGAAAGATTGCAGCTCCATGTAATGACTTGCCCAAGGCCATGCATTCAACTAAAACTAAGTTATTCTGATTTACTGAAGACCTACTATGTGGTAGGCACTGCTAACTAAGTAGCAGCACCAAATGAGGCCCCAGTGACTTGTAGTTCATAGGTCTTTCAACTATAATTATTTTTCCCACTATTTTTCTCACTATGAGAAATTGAGAAACAGAGAAAGAGAGATTAATATAGCCCAAATGGGCTAGCATCAACTTATTTCTAATGAACACACTGTCCTAAAACCTTACATAGTCCTGTATTATTCTCTGCTGTGAGAACTGATCTTATCTTATCTCTTAATATCTAGAGTTTGAAAAGAGCTGGGGTTTAAGAATCAGATTCCATTTTGGTTTTGCTTATAATGAAATCTTATACATAAATAAAAATATAAACTTAGGGGCTAAGGGCATGGTTCAAGTGGTAGAATGCCTGCTTAGCAAGCACAAGGTCCTGAGCACCACCCCCCAAAAAACTGCATGAAAAGCATTTCTGGCTGAGGACTAGAAAGCAGATGGGGAGGCAGTAGGGAAGGTGGCACATATCCTATCTATCCAGCCATCTTGCAGTCCCTTCTTCACCATCCCCTGTCTTAGCCCTTGGCTTTACAGAATTCTTTCAAAACAAGGTTAAAGAGGATTTACTGTTTGGGAGTTCAGTTAGAATTATGACCACTGAGGTAGTCTATAATCCAGAATTATCTCCACTATACTAAATGTATTATTGGCCTCAAAAGTGCAGTTCCTTCAAGTGGTGAGGATGATTCACTGGGAAGAGAAGCAATTTGTTTCTAAAATATATTGCATTAAGATAGAGAAAAATAAGATAAATTGCATCATATTATACAAATGGCAACTCTCAAATAGATATGGAAAACTATGTTTAAGTGAAATATTTTCAGCTAAATTTTCTAAATACTCTGGTTAACTTTATAAATAGCCATATGCCAAGATGAGTAATCATCTTTTTTCTAAGGTTGTTTCTTTGTACTAATTTGACATGTCAATATTCATGTTTTGGTTTCAAATGCAAAGTAACATTGTCAAGAAGTTGACAATTTTAACCAAAATAACACTTAATCAGAAAGATAATCTATGACCTTGAAGATAAAAGTCTTAGGCAAGACCAAAGGTCAGAACTTGTTCTACACTTTTTACTTATGAATGTACCTTCCCAGACATAATGCCTTTTTTTGTTATATTTTTTGAAAGCAAAACATTGCAGTGAGAAAAAGTCCACATATAATAGTTTGTAATACTTACCTGTGTTGACTGTATTACTGTAAGGTCATTAATATAGCAAAACCCTGCCCCCATGGCAGATCGAAGTCCTGCAGTCCCAAAAGTCATTCGGCAACAAAGACGATCTTGCAACTCCTTGTTCATCCCATTCCGTAACAGATTTTCAATCTGCTCTTTTGTTTTGGGATTCTATTTAAAAATAAAAAAAGCTAAAACTTAATTAGGATCACAGAGTTTTAATATCAAACCCTTCTGAGGGCCCAATATGGATCACAAGGTTTCTATATTCACTACAGATTCCACAGTGCTATTTACTTTAATTATTAATGTAGTATAAAAACAGTATTTGCCATTTTCTGAGTCCCCAAAGGAACCAGCCTCCAAAGAGTGATTTTTTTATACCATTTAAAAATAGCATATTGAAATATTTTTCAATAATTTGATAAAGTTAAGAGCTATGGATCCAAAATAACTTCTTAGTAAAAAATGACACCAATTTAATGAGAATCTACATTAAATTTAAAAAGATATATGGAAGCTACTAGATAAATGCCAGGAAAACATACTACCTATGCCTCTGCAAATCAAAATAAACAGATAAACCTTACTATTCTTTAAAAACACAGAAAACCATTCAACTTATCCACAGCATGAGTTGACCACAAGAAGGTCTTAGGTGTCAAGTGTGTCATGTTGAATTTTCTTAAAATCCAAACACAGCTTGAGAGGCAAGGCATACCAACACCCATATTTTAGAATGCTGTATTTCATTAGCATGAACTTTAACTTATAAGTCTTAAGGATATCTATGGCTAAAAACAATGCTTCACAAAAGAGTGGCAGATTTGGGGACGGGGTGTAGCTCAGTGATATAGTGCGTGCTTATGTATGCAAGGCCTTGGTTAGCCCCCGGCACCAACAAATACATACATACATACATAAAGAGTAGCAGATTTCAAACAGACATGAAATTATAATAAAAATAAAACTGAAGTGGAATTTTCTATTTTGGAGAATCACATATTAAGAAAAAAAGGGTGAAACGAAACCCCAGCAGCACAGCAACTAAGAGATAGCATAGATAAATGGGACCTCCTAAAACTAAAAAGCTTCTGTTCATCAAAAGAAATGGTCTCTAAACTGAAGAGAACACCCACAGAGTGGGAGAAAATATTTGCCAGCTATATGTCAGACAAAGGACTGATAACCAGAATATATAGGGAACTTTAAAACTAAATTCTCCCAAAACTAACGAACCAATAAAGAAATGGGCAAGTGAACTAAACAGAACTTTCTCAAAAGAAGAAATTCAAATGGCCAAAAAACACATGAAAAAATGCTCACTATCTCTAGCAATAAAGGAAATGCAAATTAAAACCACACTAAGATTCCACCTCACCCCTGTTAGAATAGCCATCATCAGCAACACCACCAACAACAGGTGTTGGCGAGGATGCGGGGAAAAAGGAACCCTCTTACACTGTTGGTGGGAATGTAGACTAGTACAACCACTCTGGAAAAAAATTTGGAGGCTACTTAAAAAGCTGGACATCGATCTACCATTTGATCCAGCAATACCACTCTTGGGGATATACCCAAAAGACTGTTACTCCAGAGGCACCTGCACACCCATGTTTATTGCGGCACTATTCACAATAGCCAAGTTATGGAAACAGCCAAGATGCCCCACCACTGACGAATGGATTAAGAAAATGTGGTATCTATACACAATGGAATTTTATGCAGCCATGAAGAAGAACGAAATGTTATCATTCGCTGGTAAATGGATGGAATTGGAGAACATCATTCTGAGTGAGGTTAGCCTGGCCCAAAAGACCAAAAATCGTATGTTCTCCCTCATATGTGGACATTAGATCAAGGGCAAACACAACAAGGGGATTGGACTTTGAGCACATGATAAAAGCGAGAGCACACAAGGGAGGGGTGAGGATAGGTAAGACACCTAAAAAATTAGCTAGCATTTGTTGCCCTTAACGCAGAGAAACTAAAGCAGATACCTTAAAGCAACTGAGGCCAATAGGAAAAGGGGAACAGGTACTAGAGAAAAGGTGAGATCAAAAAGAATTAACCTAGAAGGTAACACACACGCACAGGAAATCAATGCGAGTCAATGCCCTGGATAGCTATCCTTATCTCAACCAGCAAAAACCCTTGTTCCTTCCTGTTATTGCTTATACTCTCTCTACAACAAAATTAGAAATAAGGGCAAAATAGTTTCTGCTGGGTATTGAGGGGGTGAGGGGAGAGGGAGGGGGTGGAGTGGGTGGTAAGGGAGGGGGTGGGGGCAGGAGGGAGAAATGAACCAAGCCTTGTATGCACACATGAATAATAAAAGAAAAAAAAACAATAAAAAAAAATCAGCAGGGTGGAATGGTGCACAACTGTAATACCAGCTACTCCAGAGGCAAAGGTAGGAGGATCTCAGTCTGAGACCACCTGGGCAAAAACACAAGACTCTATCTGAAAAACACTAAAAAGGACTGGAGGGGTGGTTCAAGAGACAGAGGGTTTGCCTACCAAGTGTGAGGCCCTGAGTTCAAGCCCCATTACTAAAAAAATATTTTTCTACTTGTTTTCTTCTAGAAGTTTTATAGTTTTGTATTTTACATTTAGGTCTATGATCTATTTTGCATTATTTTTCATAAATGGCATGAGAAATGGTTGTACAGTTATTGCCATTATTTTACAAGTAGATTATCGAATTGTTCCAGAACCATTTGTTGAAAAGACCATATTTTCTTCACTAAATTTCCCTGGCACTTTGTCAAAAAAACAACTGACCACCAACATGTGAATTTATTTCTGGATTCTCCATTCTGTTCCATCAATCTACATGTCTATCCTTGGATCAGTATTATACTGCTTTGATTCTCTTAGCTCTATACTAAGCTTTGAGATTAGGGAGTTTGTGTTCTCCAAGTTTGTAATTCTCTTTCAAAATTGTTTGGCTGTTCTAGATCCTTTGCATTTCCATATTCATTTTAGGATCAGCTTGTTAATTTCTAAAAAAAAAAATAATAAGCCTTTTGCAGTTTTGATAAAGTTGGGACTGAACCTATCAATTTTGGGGAGGTCTTTTTTCTTTTCTGATTCTTGGTGTTGAGCATCTTTTTGTATGTTTGTGCCTATTTATATACCGCAAGTCCTTTTCTCATTTTTATTATAATTATTAAGGCACATTAACTGTATGACTTAATGGGTTTCCCTGTTATGTTTCCCTACATGCATCTATTGTGCTTTGATTCTGTCCACCTTCTTGGTAGGGTCTTTTTACAAAAAACAAAATTTGGTATTGTCAACAAAAGTGGGCAGTTGAGATCATGAAGAAAGGAGAGGAACTGGGGGGAGGACAATCCTTACTGGTATATCCGCAAAGTGAAGTGGGAGAGGTAATTCCATCACAGGCACATTCTTCCCCCACTAGCAAATTCTGGAGGGGGAGATGTGGCAGATAGGAAGATAAAGCAGCAGCAATCGGCTGAAAGCAAAGCTTTCAGATATTCCTAGAATAAGAACCTTTGTTCTAGGGTTCCCTTAGTTTCCCTGAGAAACCTGTAACAGTTTTGCCTCAGAGAAATAAACAACGCACTGGCCCTCTACCTAGGAGACCCCATGGTTACCGTTGCATGGTCGAAGTGGGGCTCATAGTGTCCTCCGATCCCGTAGTTCACCACCTGGAGATACTCTGCATGGGGAGACTGGACATCAAGGCCTGTGAGGGCAGCAATGCGGTGGTCAAGGGTCCCCAGTATTGGGTCAACGGTGTCCTTCAGCCAGGCACTAAAACACAGATTGGCACATCAGTGATTTGACGTGAGAAATGACTACCTGATGTCTGTGCATGAATGAATGAATGAATGAACGAACAAACGAACAAATGAGTCATGTCAACTGTCAGAGGAAGGAAGGGAGGAAAAGAGGGAGGAGGCAGGCAGCCATGAATCCCTCATCACTCACGTCCGGTGTGCCTAGTCCACCTGGTCCTCTGTGTCAACAGTCACACATTCATTTACTCGACCTTCTCCAAGGTCCACTAACTGTGAGGCCTGTGCTAGATGCTGAGGCTACAGAGTGGAGGTTCACAGCACACCGGCTCTTGACTCAATAACCCTAAAACTGCTATGTTCTAAAGCCGTCTGCAGCAGAGGGAGGCAAGTGCAATGGAGTAAGCTTGAGATGTGAAGTAATTAAATTTCAGCATGCACACTTGGACCCCAGCTACCTGGGAGGAGGACGCAGGAGGATCACTTGAGCTCAGGAGTTTGGAGCCAGACTGGACGGCACAGTGAGACCCTGTCTCAAAAGGAAAAAAAAAAAAGAAAGAAAGAAAGAAGGAAGGAAGGAAGGGGGGTGGGAGGGAGGTAAAGAAGTAAGACTAGTCCCCAATTCTCTGTGCGATCCTGTCAGATACTTAACCTCTAATCTAAGGGTCAGTGTACTCATCTATAAAATGGGAGTGACAATAAGATCTAAGTCACAGCCTTGTGAAAACTGTAAGAGAAACGCTTATGGAGATGTTTGTAAGCATACATTACTGATCACTGTGAAACCCAGGAGATTCTCTGCTCCTTGGCTCCACTCTGTGCAAACCAGAACAGTCAAAGGCCAGAGCACAGCCCAGTTTCTTCCTGAATTCCTGAAGTGGAAACTTTGGAGTCAGAAATGAGGTCTCTGGGAAATGAGGATGTATTCCCCAAATAAAGCCATTGGCCCTCCTGGGGAGACCATGAGCCTCTGAGGGAAGAGAGGCCGGGTCTGCTAGCAGAAGACCACTTCTTTTCTGTTTAAGTGATGGGTTCATTTGTTCATTCCTCCGCATGGAGTACATGCAACTTACTAGTTCGCAAAGACATCCAAGGCAATGCTCATGGACTACATGGGAGAAGAAACACAAATATAACTAAGTAAATATTAGAGTGAAAAAATGAAAAATAGACTTTACAGTGCTGAGGAGCACATAGGAAGGAGAAGTTAATTCTGCCGGACACTGAGGTAAGATGGCAACATTTAAGCAAAATTTTGAAGGGTAAAAATTTCAATGATAGAAGAGGCAGGAGTATTTGGGCCTAAACAGCCAAGCACAAACATAGGGGTGTGGCAATAAATAACATGTGCAAATGCTGATGCATCTGGTCTGTGACAGAAGTAATGGGAGAAAGTTCTGGAAGAGTAGGCTCAGTGCATGAGGTGGAAAGATGAGGAGCCCATGGGAGGAATCTGAATTTTTCTTTATTGTTTAAATGTGTCCTCGGAAGT